GGGGGTATAATTATGTGATAATCAACTGACTTGACTATCCAGATTCACTTTGCATAATACCTATCAAAAGTGGAACAACTCCCTAGGATTCTTAATTCCTAGGAATCAATATCTATCTCTTGGTGTTATTATTATTTCGTTATTATTGTTGAGGGGTATATTGCTATTTGTTTAGACTTAGGTGGAGATATGACTAGAAAGATTTTATGCATTTTATAGGTAATCAGCCTTTAACCACGTATTGTCTCATAAATAAATCGAAGAATTAACTAAGATAACCGGTTGGACTTGAGATTAAACAAATTAGAGGAAGCGTTAAGAAAAGATTTGAAGACTAGCAAAACATCACTGTTTTAGGGTATATGAAATAAATGTAACTATTGCTTGATAAAACTGCTTATGCAATTTGCAAATACTACTATCCGAAGATATATTATGAGACATTTCTGCAGTGCTCATTATTATCTAACTGAAAAAATGAGCTTAATAAAGCATTACATAATCAAACTTAATATTTTCAGAACAGAAATCAAATGTGCTATTCCTATTACAAGTCCCAAATAGCAGTTATAGAAAAAAGTTCCAAAATTCCATGCACAAACATTACATTTCCTTCTTTAGAACAAGGTATCACGTTGTAAAACAAGAATCCTGGTTCTCTTATGACCTAGGATGTGAAATGCTGCTGCAGCATCTTATTAACAATAAAAGATGTAGCCCGCTTCTCTGTAGTGAAGGATTTGTTAATAGAGACTGTGCTTTCCCGGTCTAAAAAGATATTTGGACCAGTATGTCGATTTTGCCACATCAAACCATAGCTTATACTGCAAACACCCAAATAAAGCTACAGGAACACCAGCAAAAGCAGCAATGAGCTTTGGCTGCCAAGCCATATGATTATTATAGACCAAGAAGAAGGTTGCTGCAAAAGCCAAGAGCATGCTAACTATCGAGACAAAGAGTGTCGTGAGTCCAAACAATAACTTTGCAGGCAATGATACAAGAAAATCATCTTCAGTGTACCGAGACGTCAGAATGGACAAGAACATAATGATGGAAACAATTGAACTGAACAGTGCTACTGCATCTGATATGACAAAAACTGAAAAACCCTTCAATGTTAGCATTACAGGGGTACCTAAATCGCTGTTATTACCGCCTGGAAGTGTGAAGCCAGCAGCAAACACCATTGTGGCAATCAAAGTTGCAGCAATCATACAAGAATTTGCAGTGTCTTTCATCCACCTTTCCCCTTCTTTGAGTAATAGCTGGTGCTCCTCTGTGAATAATTGCCTCGGGGTTTTCCCATCATTGTTTTTCATCCTGAGGAATGAAAGTGGAACAATTTTCTCCACCTCCTAGCCAATAAGCATTCCAGTCAGATGATTATCAGCTAGCATAATACAAAATTCATAACTCTACTTAAAAGTTATGCTAAATTAAAGAATCTCATATCACATTAAAATAACATTAAAATGTACGTTTTGATACTAAAAATAAAATGGAAGAGATTAGAAACGTAATACGGTCATCTCTCACCTTAAACCACAATATCTCTCTTTGCATTTGAAGAGCTGCTCCAGATACCCTGAGAAATGATGGCGGCATAATCTTCTCTTCTTCCTGTAGTACTGAGTAATTATTTGAACAATGATAACCCAAAAATGGGACGCTTTAATTATATAATAGTTCCTATATCATATTAAATTGGGCTGGTAGATGGGAACATGTATAGTTTAAACAAGAGATCATAAAAGGGAAATGGAGGCTGAGAATTGAAAATATGCTTATATATAAACAATAAGAAAGAGTTTTGTACCTTAACACACATTGACTCTGTTATCTGTTTAATGACCTCTGTCTGTCGCAACAGCAGCTGCTGAAGTGATTCTAAAAATACATGATTATCAGCGTCAGAAGGCACTGACTGCTCAATTTTGTTTTTCGGGGCGTCTATCTCTCCAAGTTTCTGTTTATTAATTGCCAGCCCTAACTTTCCAACCAAATGTAGAATGTTATTGCCATCATTATCTACTATTAGAGTGATTAAGTCCTTAATTGCTCCTATTTGGTGTATAAGACTGAAGACTTTTTCCTCTCGATGTAAAACAGCAACATGGAAAATGGTTCTGTTATTTTTGTCGACTTTCCATATGAGATCAGGATGATTGTGAATAAGCACAACTAGAAACTCTACATTTCCTGCTCTTGCAGCAGAATGCAGTAATTTTGACTTTTCCACTAGATCAAATAGCTTATCCCCTGCACATTTCTGAAACTCTGCCCAGAGCTCCTCAAGTAGTAGACCAGCTTGCTTCTTCAGTAAAGATTTTTCAGGAAGTACCTGAACCCGTCTGAAGCCTAAAATGTGAAGCAATATTAGCACTAGAACAAATATGAAGCTCCGTCTTGATATAAATATGAGGAAAAAGAAATTAATGGACTCATCGATATAATTACAACAAGATTTTTATAAGGTGAGTTTTCCCAATATTTACCAGTATGTAAGAAAATTCATCTACGAACAACATAGAGAAAGTATAAGTGCATCCACCTAAACTTGACCACTGACCCATTAGAGATCGAACTCATTGCCTACATTCCAAAGTTCTCTATGTTGGCTAGAATTCCCAGAACATCTATAAGAGGTAACAATTCCGATTCATTACTCAGATCCCAGAATATCTATGGCACCATGAATCCATGATTTCAGCCCGAGTGATGAGACTAATGCAGCAGCTCTACAAAGACACTGACCAATTTGCTTAGGCTAAGAATCTGACTGCAGGTTTGCCCTTATTGGATCAATGTTAGCGTGCCAGTACCAATCACCAAAAGACATCATTTTGTATGACTTAACAAGTGGTAGAATCATTTTTGTCACCAAAAGACATCATTTTGTACCTATCGGGATTGCCAGATAGATTCCAATTATGTAGTATGAAGTTTTGAACATACTGGGATTAAAATGGTGCACGCCCAATATGCTAGTTAAATACCTTCGTGATATAATGATTCTTAGTTTCTTGAATCTTCTTTCATTTAAAAGATAAACCAAGTCGTTATGAGAAAAAAATAGAATTATCGAAGAATTAAGACCTAAGACATAAAATGCGATTGAGATTTGAGATAACAATAAGAGAAGAGAGGATAAAGATAGATAAAAATAGATGGATGATAATGGAACAAAAGACATACATATCTATAGGTGTGAGATATAATTGACATCTTATATTTATTTGATGAGCGTCGAGCGACTAACTTAACACTGACCCTATAAATGAACATACTAACATTCTAACATAATTGACATTCTTTTTGGTTTTACAAACCCCATAATTTGCAGTTTTGACTTTTATTTCAAAATTTTCCTTGAGCTCAAAGTATGGACTTTTTAGATCATCATTTCAAGTATGGACTTTTTAGCTCAAGTTAATCAGAATTCTTCTACTATTCTACGATCTAGACTATTTGACAACTTCTTAAACCCATAACTAGTAGCGGATAGTACATTTTTCTTTGTCTTTTTGTTTCCATCCTTGAGCATTTAATGCTTCAAGTCCATTTTACCTAAACTGTTCGGAAACATAAAATGGTTAATAGGAAGAGAGTTGCTTGCGAGGCAGCATATAGGGTAGTGACCCTTTCTCTTAAATAAGGGTGGTGTCTAGGCCAGCTTGCGTGCACCTTGACTATTTTCACGAGATACCTGCTACTCCCACCAGCACAGTTGTTGAGTAAATCTGTCCACCAAGACTTAGACAGACAGGAAGAAATAACCTAATGTTTTGTCTCCATTGGGACATAGAGTAGTGTGACCCTTTTCAGCAAAGGCACTTATTAATTAGGTAAGACCATCTAGCTCTTTTTTCTTCTCGTATGTAAAAGATCTATGTATGTCTGCATCCACGTAAGGGCAAGTAAGAAGTTATGATATCTACTCTCGACCATAACAGAACTCATCCCAGTCAAAAGATCATACCATATTGCCCAGAAACGCACATAATAAAACCTCAGTGTGCTTTAAATTTCTATTCAGATAGTGGTGTTAGTCAACAAAACATATCTTGACCCTAAAGAAAATGATTTACCAGCTCATCATTCTTTGATACCAGTTTCATTAATTCAGCTATACTGCCCCAACGTGTCAACTTCTACTGTGTCTACTTAGTACCAATGAAACATGAAGAGTCTAAGTTAAAGTTATCTTACATGGAGTGAATTGCATCCTAGCAATGGAAATTGCACTAGTAAACATTCCCCACACTGGAGAACAAGCTCGTATAATGAATCTTTCCCAGTTCCCTTCTTGATTTTGGTTACTGATTGCTAAAGACTTTTTAACTAACGCGTACAAGACTGATGCATTTCCTTCTAACACTTTAGTGGCCAAACCACCTCCCTTCTTGAATAAATTCAACGCCACATCTGCAAGAAAAAAATTGAATAAAATAAATTAACTTAGCGATAGAAATACATATCTCAACAGTACTCGACTAGCTTCTTAAAAGGTGAGCGTTTCAAAGTGAATAGTGAAAAGTAATAATCAACGAAACAACATAGTCCATTAAGAAAAACAGAGAGAGACAGAGAGAAAGCGAGTGTATATGTAATGTGATTTCTATACATATATTGACATAACAATATGACACTCGTACCATTTTCAGAATGCAAAATGTTTGATCTCATTTCATCTCTGTAAAAAATTTCTAGCTTCCAATTTAATTTTATTAAACTATTTCAATTGTATAGTTTATAACTTCTCTAACTTTTAAACAATCAAATATATTACATTATTCAAATTTCAAATTTTGATGTAGTGTTTATCAATCGAGAATAACGGTTCAATCACTATCTTAATATTTTATTCCACTAACATTAGTATATAATATATAAATCAAATTAACATTTTAGATTTCGTGCTCAATCAAATACTATATTGGTAAGCGGAGACGTCGTACCATACATCTCATTGTGGATTGCGGTTTCAAGAAGTGCATAGCGTACTTGTTGTAGCACATCAAGACTTGTGACCTCACAAAGGTATGATACCATATCATTGTTCCCAATTGTAGCTGCCATAGTGATTGGTAGTAAACCATCCTCACCGGGGATGTTAGGTAACTTCACATTCTTCTCCCTCATTGCTTTAGCAATTTCAACAACCCCTGACGCTGCTGCAAAATGAAAAGCCGTACTTCCTTCGTCATTTAGCAATTCCAAGTCCTCTTTTTCTATCAGATTCATTAGCTTTCGTACGAATAAGGTGCTCCTTGCTGCAGCTGCAATGTGAAGAACTGTTTCACCCTTTTCTGATATCTTATGACGAGCAAGACTTGGATCATTCTTTAGGATAGGTTCAGCAATTCTCCAATTATCTTTCAGAGCAGCTTGATAAAGAACTTGATATACGGTAAGATACTTCATTTTGTTGCCTCCTAAAAATTGAGAAGCTTCATGATTACGTAATTCTAAGGCAACTCAATATGTATGTATCATGACAGCATAAATTTGTTTTTCCCTTACTTTTGAATACTTGCATACAGAAAAAACTTCTGGTATAACAACACATATTCCTCTGTCTTTCGAGACTATTTGGATCGCCCTACTCAAGAAATTTAGTAGATCTTATAAAGTGGGTTAGGGTTAGATATTTCGATTTTGCTTGGGCTGTGATTTTTCTGATAATTGGGGAAGATCCACCCAAATTCTGGCACATTTGCACAAAATTGGGGAAAGTCAAGGGATATTTCTTGTATCTGATCGACAAGAGATTGTTTTCTCCTGATGAAAGAAATGAGGAAACAGAGAAAGTTCTCTAGCACATTCTCAACAACTTGATCTGAAAAACCTTCCGCTGACACCGGCGCCGGTATCGTCGGTGACGCCGGTGGTGAAGCAACATCTGAAGAACGAGGACGCTCCTCATCTGACGAATTCGGGAACCGATTTCATTGTGGGATCGTCAAACAATTCATTAAGTAATTTCAAGTGACTCAAATTTTATTGTATTAAATACGTTATTTATATAATAACAAAATATGTCACCGTTTATAACAACCTATTTGACGTGGCGTTGTTATCTTTATCTTTTTTTTCTATTTCACCATTTATTATTATTAAATAATTTTATTTTATTATTTATCTTATCTTTTTGTATAATAAATTTATCCATATCATAATTTTTCTTTAAAATATTATAAGTTTATTCTTCATATTATTGGTGCATGATATCATAAAACTATTGCAAATGCTACAACCTATCCAAACATTATATTTATCAAACGATATATTACAATACAATAATATACGTTACCAAACAACAACCCTCCAAACAAGTTGTTGCTTGTGTGGCTAACTGTTCATTCCGTTGCAATTTATTTGTGTCTTCATTCAACTAGCCATGAAGTTTAATAAAAAAAAAACTTTTAAAATTTGTATTCTTAAAAATAAAAATATATACTAGTATATCAAAATATTCTTGCATTTGTGGTTTTAAGGTTGGAGTTAAAGAGTTACTAAAAAGGAAAAACGGAATTAAATTTGCTATATATTTGTAAGATTATAAAGAAGTAGAAATAAATTAGTTTAAATTAAATTATTTCTAAGTTTTAAAAAAACAAATTCAAAACAATCTTATAAGGTATAGTTCACATAAGTTGAAACACCTATCCCATTGCATTGTGAATAACAACTAATATGGTATCTATATTGCTAAAAGTTCTGTTTTTCGCGAGAATAAAATACACATGGAATTGAATTGCCAATAAAATAAACTAGCTATGTTTAAGTTTCAAGATTAATTGATTTGTGAATCTACACATGCATATGGAGAATATATAACTCAACCCAGGCATTTGGAGAATTGGTGGGGAAGGGCCTTCAAAATGCTGAACAAAATGGATGAGTACCTCTAGAAGTAATAATGTTGTTACTAATCCAAAGGATGGACAGGGTGATGGTGAGATAGGCAATTTAACTTATGATCCTATGATATGTTAATATCGGTTATTGATCCAAAGGATGGACAGGGTGATGGTAAGACATAGTTACGGGTAGCAGAATAGAGTGGCCGATGCACTGGCAAAGGAAGCAGCAAAATCAAAAAAATTAGGAAGAACTACCATGCTAGCAGTTGTGTTTGCAAACGATGTATTTTGGGGAGACATTCTATGAACTGAAATAATTAGACACTTTTTGGCATGTAATATTGATATACTAGAATAAAATATGCCTTATACTAGAACAAAACATACCTGTTTTAGGGGGATTAAAGTACCCCATCTAACCAGTACTCTGTAACGTAGTTCTTAATATATACTGCTCTATAATTTTCCCTTTGACCAAAAACAAAAGAGAATATATAACAGTGAACTTACTACTAACAAGTAGTACAGGCTGCCGACTGGAAATAGGAGGAGGTTGACTTTCAACGTCACTAATTTGATCATTTGGAGATCCTTGTTCATCTTCAAAATGATCATTAGCTGAGGGAAATTCGTTGCGTATAGATCTCTCCGCCATTATAGTTTTGTCTGCACTGGCTTCTACAAAAAATGTACAGAGTAAGTAAACTGGAACCAGATTGATATATACTACTTAAGACGTAGGCATAAAGTCGAAGCCATAATTTCAACTTCTGGATTTCAAATGTTAACGATCGTGTTCTAGATTTAATATCTATACATATTTAATGAATTAAAAATACCAAATACATTATTTAAGCAAAAATTACTGGGTTCAGCCAAACCCGTAAGCCGGCTTGTGCCTTCGCCCCTGCATAAACAGGATCGAAAAGGTTACGTTTAGCTCCGTTTTTAACGAAAATTATGTAAAAATATTCAGAATTTCAAAATAATATAGTAAGTGATCTATATATATGACTATATATTGGTTATGATGCGTTTCAAACTTCCACGAATATCTTCATGTTAAAAAAGTAATAGAAAGTCAAAATGCTTCACAGGAATCTAATGCAGAATCAATATATATATATATCGGCTCTTTGTATATCTTTTCGAGTTAATGACAAGTACATCTTCTAAATTCTGGACTATAAGACACATAATTTCTCAGGCTTCAAATATTTGAATCAACCTATTTATTTTTCCTCCCCTATAATGTTATAAGGCTAATTTTGTGGTTTATAACTTTACCATATTGTGAAGTTCATGTTCTTTTCGTAACTTATAAGCTACAACTACAAAGATGAGTCAAATATAAACACAATAGAGGAGAAGACGAGTAGCAATGAGAACAAGGTAAAGAAAGAAGAAGAGAAAATAGACATACGAAAGCGACTGATGCTTCTCGGTTATCGGAGGAAAGGAGGATTATCTGGTTGATGATTTCCTTTTAGCTCCAAACTCCAATTGCTGGACCTGCCCAAATATATATATATATATATAGAGAGCAAATAATTGGATTTCTTTGCCTCGAGTAATAACTGAAGTGTTAATTAATACTTTCACCGGTCCACAGTAAGTGACCATCCTGAGCACACCCATTAAAGAAATATAAAATTCTAGACAAAAATAGTTAGTGTGACTAAACTACCCTTAATTAAATGTTGCAGCATAGTTAATGTGAGGAGTAAAAGACTTTTTAGGGATACATACGTAAGGGTAATTTTGAAAAAACAAATTGAATTTTTTCTTGATTATATAAATGGACACATATTTTGGACCAAAATAAAAAAGCAAATTGGTTACTTATTGTGGACCGGGGGGAGTAACTCCTCCATTATGGAATTTTTTATTATTCCGTACTTAAGGCAGCCCATCAGTTTTTTTAAAAACAATTGGTTAGTATATTGGGACTTTTAGAGCTTTACCCATAAAAATTAAACTAATTACTTGTGTGTACTCATTTACTTTTGTACCCATAAAACTAATTAGTCTTCCTACCCATCGTAGCTTTTGTGGGTAATTGACTCTTTTTTTCTCCTTTTCTTTTTCGTTATTTTTTGCTCTTTCTCCCTTTCTCTCATGTTTTTTTCAATTATATTGTTTTTTATTTTCTTTTTTTACCATAATTTGATTCCATACTCAATTTTGGGTCCTTAATTTTTATTTTGTTTCTTTTCTTTTGTTCATTTTTCTTTATTTCTTGTTTCTTTTCTAATTTCATTTAACTTTTTTTTTTCTTTTTTTCCTACATAATCTAATCACATTCACTTTTTTTGCTTCCTTTCTTTATTCTTCTTTATTTATAGTAATAAACATAACTAATATAGTAAACATTTGTTCACTATTTTTTTAATATAACTAATATAATATACCTTATGTCTTTTATCTCATTTATTTTCTCTAAATCAATTATTAGAACAACTTATACATTATACATGTTTTTTCTTCTCTTTTTTCATTGCATTTTTTCCTTTTTTCCCCTCTTCTAATATTATTTTTATTATTTTTAAATTATTTTTATGTATTTCTATTTTTTCTCATAATCTAATTCTACACATCTTTTGGGCTCCTTTATTTTTGTTCTTTTTCTCTCTTTTTTTACTATATCAGTAAAAAAAAAAATTGATGTAGTACATCTTTTTATTTTATTTAATTTTTCTTATACTAATTATCAGAAAATAACTTACTCTAGCATATAGTATACGAAAAATAGTATATTAGTAGTAATTGAAGTATATTGTTGTAGCATACTATGATACTCACATGGTATATTATCATATACTGGCAAGGTATCATAGAGGTCTCATTTCTTCAAGAAGTACACTCAGTTCTCTATAATACATATATGGTTTATACCATATACTGACATGATATAATGTGGCATTCCTTCCAAGATAACACTGAGTCTCGATGATACTAACCTGGTATATAGCATATGCTAACAGGGTCTCATAGAGGATAGGTTCATTCCTTCAACAAAAAATACTCTTCAATACTCTATGATACCCACATGGTAGATATTATATACTGACAAGATAGAGTTCTGGTTAATTCCTTCAAAAAAGAGCTCAGTCCTCTATGATACCAAACTGATATGCAAATATACCATTTTCGTATACAATACAAATCATCTACTTCGCTACCTTTACTTAATTTCAACCCAAATTTCACAGCTCTAATGCAAAATCTCCACCAAATTAGCTTAAAATTTAGCCACAACCTCCATTCAACATTTCAAACTAAGTATTTTTATTTAATAAAAAATTTAAAAAGGCGTAAAAACTCTATTGAAACATTGAAAAGATTCCAATGAAAAAGATACCAACCTGGTATATATCATATACTAACATCGTATCATAGAGGACTAGTTCATTCCTTTAACAGAAAAAAATACTCGTCAATCCTCTATGATACCCACATGGTATATATCATTACTGACATAATATATAGGTATGGTTCATTCCTTCAAAAAAAGAGCTCAGTCCTCTATGATACCAAACCGGTATACATGTACACTATTTTGGTATATAGTATAAATTCATCTTCTTTGCTAGTTCAACTCAATTTCAACCCAAATTTTATAACTCTAGTACAAAAAATCCACCAAATTAGCTCAACTTTAGCCACAATCTCTATTTAACATTTAAAAGTAAATATTTTTGAATAATAAAAATTTGAAAAAGGCATGAAAACTCCATTAAATATTTAAAAAGATTCCAATGAAAAACTTCAATAAATAAAAAGGACCAAATTATAACGGATACTATTACACTATACTGTATATTATAAGAGTATAATGTTGGAATAAATTGTATAAATTAAAAATTATATACTAAAGTGGTATACATGTATACCATTTCGTTATACAGTACAAATCCATCTTCTTCGCTAGTTCAATTTAATTTCAACCCAAATTTCACATCTACTGCAAAATCTCCATCAAATTGGCTCAAGCTTTTGCTACAACTTTTAATCAACATTTCAAACAAACCCCAAGCATAATCAGATTAAAATAACTATAAACTCAACAAGCCCACTACATGAATTTCCAGCTTCAAAGTCCTTCAATTGTGCATTTGATTTTT